TCACCGAATCGGGCAGACCCGAGAAGTCAAAGTCATCTACATGGAAGCCGTGGTTGACAAAGTTTCCAGTCATGAAAAAGAAGACAATTTCCGAGTCTCAGGAATCGTTGATTCCGATGACGACCTCGCCGGAAAAGACCGCTACATCGGGTCAATCGAGAGTCTCATACGAAACAACATTCAACAGTACAAAATCGATATGGCGGATGAAGTTATAAATGCGGGAAGATTCGATCAAAGAACAACACACGAAGAGAGACGATCGACTTTAGAAACATTGTTACGCGATGAAGAACGATACCAAGAAACCGTACACGATGTCCCCTCGTTACAAGAAGTCAACCGAATGATTGCAAGAAGTGAGGAAGAAGTCGAGCTTTTTGACCAAATGGATGAGGAATTCGATTGGTCCGATGAAATGACGCGATACGATCAAGTCCCGAAATGGTTACGCGCCGGGACCCATGAAGTGAACGCTACAATCGCGCGTTTGTCTAAAAAACCATTGAAGAACATGATTTATCCGGAAAATATCGAGCCCGAAATGGATGTTACAAAAAGAAGAGGGCGTTATAAAGATAAAAAATTCCCAAATTATGCGGAGTTAGATGATGATATTGAGGAGTTTTCGGAGGCTACATCCGAAGGAGAAGGTGAAGATGATGAAAATGAAAATGAAACTCCGGTGACTGTAAAAAGCCAATCGGAAGAGGAGATTCCGGCGACCGGAAACCGGTATGAATATCCCCGGGTACCTAATGCTGCAAAGCTTCTAGAAGCTCGGTCTTCAGGGTCATCCTCTGATAGTCGGAAAGTGATGCCGATTGCAACGAAGTTTGGTTCGCTTTCTGCACTTGATGCTAGGCCTGGTTCTCGTTCGAAAAGGATGGTATGTATGTCTTCTTTTTAAACAAAAATAACTTTCATTCATTTGTTTATTATATATAGCATCTTACTTACATAAATATTTAACCCTAAAATTTAGCCATTTTTGTCAAAATTTTGACCTGCTTTTTGTACGAGTCATATTACTGATTTCTTGCATCCTGCAATAGCATGATGATCTGGAGGAAGGTGAGATTGCATTTTATGGAGATTCTCATATGGAGCTTCAACAATCGGGTGAAGATGAACAAGTTTTACAACCGAATATAAAACGGAAACGAAGCATCCGTCTTCGACCAAGAAATGCAACCACTGAGCGGTTTGAAGAAAAACCAACTCTCCTTCGCGGTGATTCTTCCCGCTTACCTTTTCAACCTGACCGTGAACGTGAACGTACTAAATTACATGTAAAAACCGAACCACCTGAACAAAAACCAGTAGTAATTCCTCAAACCAAAAGAACTCCTCCTCCTACTCGTAAAAACTCAAATAATAAGGCTCCCGTGAGACCAACCAGAGGAAATTCCATTTCTGCCCCTCTCAAAGAGGAGCCCAAAGAAAGTTTGGATGCTAAAGTAGGACCTTCTCTCGGCGGGAACAAGATGTCCGAGGCTATCCAAAGAAGGGTATGTTTGTCTTTTTGTATTTCGTGTTACTAACTGGCGGCTCTTTCTTTTTTACTTAATCTGAACCAGAATGACTGAATGGGTTCTCAGCCAAAGAGTTAAGATTTGTTTGTTGGAATGTAAGGATACAATGGTCATTCAGACGGACAAACCTAATTCATTGCCCTTATAGGACTTAATGGGGAAAACAATCCCCTAAGTTGCATCATGGACTGAATTTTATGATTCGTGCTTGCAGTGCAAAAATGTAATAACAAAGATCCAAAGGAGAATCGATAAGGAAGGTCAACAAATTATTCCTCTGTTGACTGATCTTTGGAAAAGAACCGAAAGTCATGGGAATAGTCTTCTCGATCTACACAAGATTGAACTTCGTGTGGATCGACTGGAATACAATTCCGTTCCGGAGTTGATTTCCGACGTGCAGGTTATGTTGAAAAGCGGAATGCAGTATTTTGGATTTTCACATGAGGTATTCATCATTTCTTCCGATTTAGTATATACACATACGTAGTTTAGAAAATGGAAAAAAAAAGTTGAAATCCACCAACTATTCCAAGTTTCCCAGCTTGATCCCTAAACAATTTTTTTGCCCATTTACACCCTTATGACCAGCTATAGCAAACCAATTAATTCAAATTTTTGTGTTTGAGAATGGTCACTAAACTTTTTTCCACACCTAGGGTCCCTGAAAAAAAATCGTGCTTTTTATACCATTATTAAATGCTAGTATGTAATTATTTATATTTTATTTTCATATATAATATTCCTATTACAATTTAGTATTAGTAGAGGTAACAGAACAGTAGGTCGACTAAATGTTTTTTTGTAATTTTATTCTTTTTTCGAACAAGTAAATTTATTCTTTCTTTTTTTTTTTTTGTCATTTTATTCTTATTCAAGTAACTACAGTATGATGAAATTACTTTTACTCCATTTTATTTTTCCAAATATTATATTTAAGCCTAGGTTCATTAAGGGACTGAAATACATTCTTTTGAGACGATTTTAATTTGTTTTCTAAATTATCTAAAGTGTGAAATATGAATAAACAAACCGTATTATTATTTAATAAAGCACCAAAAATGGTATAAAAAGCACAAAAACACAATTTTTTTATATGAAAATAAAAAATATAGATAATCAGATACTAGCATTTAATATTTGTCTGAAAAGCCCAAAAAAAAGGGTTAAATAAGAACATTCTTTTTTGTTGAGAGAAGTTACGAGTACAAAAAAAAGTTTTGTGATCATTTTGGAAAACAAAAAAAAAATCAAATTAACCTGTCAAATATGACTATTAATCTGAAATAAATAAATACAGGTGAGATCGGAGGCAAGAAAGGTGCATGATCTGTTTTTCGATATATTAAAAATTGCATTTCCCGATACCGACTTCCGAGAAGCCCGAAGCGCACTCACTTTCTCGGGCTCATTAGCCGCATCAGCATCAGCATCCGCGTCGTCTCCAAGAAGCGTACCTCCTTTTGGTCAACCCAAGAGACAAAAACAGATACTCGATGTTGACCCGCAACCTACCCCGGTCCCACGGGTGCTTTCCCGTGGGCCTGGGTCTATGACTCAACGAGACACAAGGTTCGGGAAGGACTCGATCGACGGTCAAGATGAACCGAGATTGACCCATCCGGGTGAGCTCGTGATCTGTAAGAAGAAACGGAAAGACCGTGCGGTTAAACCGGGCAACCGGTCAGGTGGCGGTTCGGTTTCAACAACAGAGATTGGTCGTGAAATTAGGATCCCGGGTCAAACCCGACTGAGTCAAAGTCAAAGTCAACAGGGTTGGTCAAATAATCAGTCTCCGGGGACGGGGAGTGGGGTCGGTTGGGCGAACCCGGTAAAGCGGATGAGGACGGATGCAGGGAAAAGGCGGCCCAGTCATATGTGATTGTTTCGGGTGGGTGTTGTTAATTTATAAGGGTTTGGCTGGGAGTTGACTATATTATGTGGGACCCGTGAGTACTAGTGTTGAAGCAAGCAGATTGTACACATGGGCGATTGTTTATGAAGCTTCTGTCCGATATTAGTAGTGTCGATATATGTAAAACATAATGGCTTTTCGGCTAAGAGACTTCTATTTATAATTTTATAATCGATATGTATGCCTATGCCCGTATCCATGGGTTTTGGAACAGCAAAAACAGTAAAAAGTTATGCTTAATATGCTTAAAACCTGCAAATTTTGTAGTTAGCTGCATATCAGTCATAATAACATGCATCTCATGTATAAAAAAATGTATCAGGTGTTCCTCTTTCCATGAGGTCGAGGGTTCAAATCTCATTTGAGGCATACGTGGAACTAGGAGAAGGTTATACTCGTCGTTCAAAAAAAATGTATAATTATATGCATTTCATGTAAATTACTTATGAATCTCATGCGTTAACTTGTGTGTATCATGTGAATCACAAGATTGTTAAGTGTATCTCATGTATAATTTTGTGCATCTTATGTAAGGCGCTAGTTTTTGCATAAGATGTACAAATTTATTTGAGTTAGCACAAAATTAAACATAAGATGTATAAAATTATACGTAAAATGCCTAATATTAAATATACTATATACAGGAATTTGTCGTAAGATGCATAATCTAATTCATAAGACGTGCAAGATGTCTATAGTTACTTATACAATCGCACCACAAAATCAATGTTTTCATTATTTAAAAAATTGACACCACTTTTTCTCTGTAATCACCTTCTTTATCTTTTCAAGTTGAGAATATTTCTCACTCTCACACCATTTGTCACATAAGCATATTCAGCTGGACAACTATCACAGAAAATGGTTAAGAAATTATAAGTTTGTTGTTATTCTTAGTAAAATAATAAAATATCCCGTCTATACTGATAGAAAAAAAGTAATTGCTTTGTAAATGGATGCAATTTATTAGAGATCTATGAGAAACCGAGCAAAACCACCACTTAAGCACAAGGTATAACCTTGAACTTAATGGACATTATCATGGCTTTTTATAAAAATTATTGGTGTGAGAAACGAACCATATGAGTATGAGTTAAAAACATAGCGAAAAGTGCAATTGGTCAGATATGTCACATGTATAAACCGATCAAAAACTACTCAAACTGTATTGACCTCCTCAACTATTTATATTCAACGAGGTTAACTAATATTAATATACTTATAAAAACAAAAAACTAACAATATATTGACGCATCCCAAAGCCCCATTTTGCAACCTTTAAAAATTTTGAAACAAACTAACCATTGTTTATTTTGTAAAAAGAACCAAAAAGACACTATTTCGCAAAAACAAGCGTGACTGGACTAACTGAGAAAAACATAATATCAAAGCTTTTAGTGAAATATTTAAACTATATTACAGAACATTTTTACGTAAGCTTTAAAAACTGTCAATTTTATTCCTCCAGTAAACATTAGTCACGTTTGTATCGAATAATTCAACCTTACGAGCATCCAAAACGTATATTTAAACTGATCCTACTCAATTGGGCTAAAACTTATATAAGTATAGAACCAAAAATTATAACCAAAAACAAGAGTAACAAAGCAATGTTGCCTACACTTGAATAAATGTACCAAAAACATGCAAGCATCAAAGCCCTCAACAACCTATGCCTCTTTTCCATATACACCCGTCAACAAAAACAATTTCAAAATTTTGCCCCAAAATTCTCACATTTTTAACCAACCAACGGACCAACCCAAATATCGATCAACCTTCAAAAACTTGAAATTTTTACCTCGAGCCCAACTTTCTCAAGTTCATCATCATCACTATCAACATTACTTGGATCATACCGGTTCTGGTGGGCCCTACGTCTCAATAAATAGACATTAAAATAATAGCTCACCAAAACCGATTTCTTTTTATTCTTGAAATAAACCGAAAGTTCATCCCAAAAACTTCTACCCGAAGACTCGGGGTTTGACTTAATTATATCTGCAAACTTTTTTTCTTCATGTTGACTCCAGGCAACCGAAACCTCTTCACCCATTGTTCCAAATTTCCATTTCACAAAAGCGGACCCCAGTTCAAGTTTAACTCTCGATCTTTTTTCAGACACATGAAACCGCACGCATTCTAATGATCCCATGTACTGACACCCGCACGATTCTTGTCTCCCTTTTCCCATTCGTTCCATTTCGATTAAACCGTTTCTTTTTTCGGTGCTTTCTAAAGGCCAAACGCGGGTCCCAAGCCACCTTGTTTCGCTTCCGGAAGTTTCCCCAGTCCATTGTGGAACTTCCGCCTGAAAAAACCGACCCAGTGGGATTCGTTTTTTCCTATAATTCATGGCCCATAAGGAATCTTTGTCATCTACATCACTCGAGCTGTCAAACGACCCGGAACATTCTAGAACGTTTGGGCTTGGGTTTCTAGATAGAAAGATTTTCTGGGTTTCTTTGGCGATAATGATTCTTTGGCTGCATCTTGGTATCAGTTTCTTGGTTTCATCCTCATACATGTCTGGATGCATCTTTTGCTTTTTCTACAAAAATAAAAATGGGTTGTCTTTAAGGGTCGAATGCAAGAAATAGTAATGTACTTTTGCTCATTTGTTTTATAGCACCTTACTTTTTTTTTTTGTAGTATAGTGTCGTACTTTTAAAATCTACCCAATTGTAACAATCTTGTCAAAATACAAATCGATTTTTAGTGCTATAACTGGATGAAAGTAGAATGCTATAATATACAAATGAATGAAAGTATTTAGCTACTAGTCATATATCTAAAAACTATTACTCTCTAATAAACATAACATTCAACCGGGTTTAGCTATTAGTTTCATATTTAGCAACCGACTTATTTTGAAGGTTCTCACTTCTCATTTAGTCTCTTTAGTCATTTTAATATCAGGGAGCGTAACCAACAACTAATGTTGGTCAAAATGTATATATATTTTATATCAAGTATATATTACTTTTTATATTTATTTAATCTTTATCTTCCAAAATCAAAATCCACATCCAAATTGAAACGACTGAACACCACAACTTAAAATAGGGGCTACCAAAATCATCTTCATCTTCCAAAATCACAAACATCAATAGCATGTGTTTGATTTAACAAATGCAGGAAGACGAAAATATGCGAAAAAATGTTCATCTTCAATGAAAGCTTTTTCGATTTTATTCAAATAATAAACAACATATATTAAATATTATTATTTATTCCATTCGTATGGGATTTCAATTTTGAAAGATGAATGATCATTTTGGATGAACTCACTACTAGTAACCAGCCTTGAGTTTGTTCATCTTCAGTGAAAGGCTTTTTTATTTTATTTATAAAATATAATATAAAAAATAAAAATAAAATGAGTAAAGTAACTAAATAAGAACATACAAAATAGTTCCAAAATATTAAAAATGACCAAATTGACTAAATTGTCCGCAACCAAAACCGGTAAAACCTGCTATAGCAGGTCATAATGGTACAGTTTGAAGATAAAGTCGATTTTTAAAATATCCTCAACCAAAACAAAAATAAAAAGATATAGTGAACCCAAATCAATGCTATTAACTTAATTGTAATTATAACAGTACTACACCCTCTAATATAAATGCAATGTTTAACTAAGCAGATAGGTTAGTGGAAGTGGTTAAATACCTAAAATACCCTTAATGCGCCCTATATTCTTCGCATTCATGTTTCTAGGATCACTAATGTGATTGAATACACACTAAGTGATAACTACATTCTTGGATATTAAACCATAAATCATATAAAGTATAAACCATTAACAACATGAAACCAAGTTCAACAAATAAAACTGTGCAATGATAATAGAATTGGTTAAGCACAATAACCAATAAATTCAGAGGGGATTATGAATTACCTGCCAAATAGATTGTTTAGAGTTCGAATCATCATTAATCTTCAAATACATTGCCTCTTTCGCCAACAGAACCTGTTTCCATAAATGCTCATTTCCATAAGCCTTCCACTTAGACCTTTCAGGCAACGATCCAATTGCAGGATCACAAGGATTTATAGCCACTTTTTTCACCCAATCCAACAATGCCAGATATGACTCTTTCTTCCTCTTTCTAATCAATTTGTTATCTTCTGTAATGCCGATACATAACTCATTAACAACACCATATTTTTCACCAACACCACAGTTTTTACCTCCAACATCCTTAAAACCAACACACTTCTTTTCATCTTTCATATTAACATCTATGAAAAACCGCTCCAAATCCAGATTTAGATCCATGAATGTTATCTTCAGTGTACTGTATACCTCACAGAAACTAGTTTCAAACTCTTTGAAACAATCTAATAAATCCCAGATCCTTCAGCAATCAAATCTCAACGACAATGAAAAATGACCTAAAATAACTATAATAGAGCTCTTTTAAATGTACAAGACGAAAGAATAATTTACGAAGCTTGTGATCAATTTCTCCGCGTTTTATAGAATCCCCATTTTCGTGAAGCCCTTGTAGGATTCTAAAGCAATCCAATGCAGACCGATATGTTTGCTTTGATAACCCTGCCATTGATTCAAATATTCAAACCCAATAAGTATATCACATACACTATATATTTGATCTAACAGCGAGTAAAAAAAATCTCGGAAAAGAAAAAAAAAATCTGAAGAAAACAAGTTATGCAAATGTTTTTATCCAACAATGTAAGGGTTTTTATGAGTTTTTTGGCGGGAAGATGATATTGATCTAGGCCATGGAAATAGGATAAAACTTAGGTTAACTTTCGGAGTCCCCACACACTCTCTCTCGCTAAGAAAACCAAGAGTGTATTGAGTATATGCAAGGAGACTTTTCAAGATCTTCAACAGTTTTTGACAAAAGAATCAATCAATTTCTCAGATGTAAGAGAGAGGGAACGATTACCAGTTTTTGTGGGGCGTAGGGGCTTGTCTTTTGCCCTCTATCCCATTCATTCCCTTTAGCCCCCTTTGGATTTTATTTATGGCAGAGGGATTTTAAGGAATTAGACATTAGGGATTTTTTTCTTTAAAGAAAATAGTGAATAGAGTACTTATAATCTAAGGATGTTGAATCCAACCATGGTTTTGTTAACTAAGTTTAATGGTTGCGTTGGGTTAGGATTAGGGTTTTGTATATGGTCTTCACTCTATGAAAATAGCATGTTTTGTAGTCAAATATGGGTTGAGTATTTTTGCTGAAAAATAAAAATTGTATTGAGCCCATAAACTATGGGTTATCACTTGCAATGAAGCCCTAAAAAGGTGAGAAAATAAAAGAAGATGAAGGAGTGGTTAAAGTTGAATAGAAAATTCTTCTTTATTTTTTGATGTTTATTTCAACATTTAGGGTATCTAAATATATTTTTATTAATTATATTATTTTGACAAGCTATATCACATTTCTTTGCTAAATTGGTGCTTCTTTTTTATCTTGGTGGCCATGTATCATCACAACATTTTCTTTTAAGAGCACCAAGACAACATCCTCTTTTAAGAGCACCAAGAGTTTCCTTCAATCTTCATTTACATCTCAAAAACACTGTCTTTGTCTTTATCTGAGCAACAAATTTATAACAAGAATTTCTTAAAACGGGGTTGTCTTCATGAACTCATAAATCAATCGGGTTTTTTCTATGTAAATAGGATGAACAATGTTTTCATATATAATCTAAATCTCATATATAAAAGCACATGTCTATTGCAATCTGGATTTTATGAATGTCGCAAAATTATACGTTATGAAGAGGATGTTAAGAACAATATGACAACTTTTCTTTTATCATTTTTAATTACACTAATTAGAAAATATCTTGATAATTTTAAAAGCAATACCCGTAATACCGGATTCAAAGATTTTGGAGCTAAGACAAACAAATTATTATTGGCTATTTCCATCATTTGTAGAACCATCATGTTTTTTCTTAACCATGTTGAGAAATTATCTTCATGGATGGTATTTGCTACTTTAATTTGATGGTTTTTCTCATCTACGTTTAGAAAATATACAACTATACAAAGCACATTTAAAATTATACAAACAAACTTATTATCAAGGACTTGATATTTCTTACAAATGAATAATTATTCCGTGGTATAGGACTACATAAAAATAATTATGTTCATTTGGTAACATTTTGTATGTTCATAACTAAGATATACATATGTCCATAGATGAACATATATGTTCCGTTATGAACATTGGTTCTTTTCATGAGTTTATATATATATATATATATATATATATATATATATATATATAGAGAGAGAGAGAGAGAGAGAGAGAGAAAGAGAGAGACACACACACACACAAGGCTGGAGACTCGTGTATTACATGAGTTGACAGCTTAGAAAATTAAACTATATAGAAAATTTAAGAGTTTCAATCATTAGATGTTGGTATGTTTATATTTTATGCTTTTCAACTTATTTTTATACTTGAAGCTAAAGTTGAAAAAGTTGTAGTCTATTGTCATCTCGGGTAAAGTATACTTGTTTTATAAGTTTGTATTTAGTGACAATTTAGTTTCTAAATCCTTAACCACCTGCGTTCATTTTCTAACTATTTATTTGATTTGTAATTTGAATATCCCAAAAACTAAATTATAATAGGTCGATTTGTCTTGATTTGATATATTTTTAGGAGTAAAGAATTGATTTGTTTCGACTAATTATTTTATGTTGAAATTTGTACAAGTAGAATGATGTTGCATTTTTTTTAGATTTTAAAGTTTGTAAATCCTCCATCATGTGTAATAGTATATCAAAATGGTAATAAAAAAGAAACACACAAGAAATAACATCATACTTTATTCAATTGACCAATATAGATAATATACAGATACAAATGAGTAGATTTTCCAAAGTATAATACATGAATAAGGAAACTTTTGTAAGTATAATGTTTTGTTTACTATTTTAGAAAAGTAAGAAGTTAAAAAGTTTAATTTTTATAACTTAAAGCAACATAAATCGAAAGCTATAATAAAATATGAATTAAAGTAAGGTGTTATTCCTTGTATTTGCGATAAAAGTTTACAGAACGGTCACATACTATCATACAACACATGCAAGAGTCACGCAGACATCTAGCATCCCAACATATAAATCATGGGCCGACATTGATGCATTCGACCCGCTAAACCTAGTGAGGAGACTCACCTCACACTGTTGAATCACACAGACGATCCCTGGCTGTTGACTGATAGATCCCCGAACTGTTGATCATCAAAACAATACCCAATTAACAATTGGGTTCCAAGGCATAACCATAAGTCCATACTTAGGGTAAAAAGACCATTTTACCCCTAACCTAGCTTGGTCCAAGGCCAAGGCCCAAACACACACTCTGAAGGCCCAAAGGCCAAATAATCAACCAAGGCCCAATTATGGCCTAATTTTCCAAATTGGGCCCAAAATCCTTACATGGGCCTTACCCTAAAGCTCATCCAAATATCCTAGTCCATACACTTATTCTTAGATGGATCACTAAGAACCCAAACACCTAAGCCTAAAAGAAAAGGCCCAACTCGAGCCCATACACAATTAGGGTTTTTACATGAAATGACAATTAAGGTTAAGTAAAAACACTTAACCCATTAATGACTTAATCCATTAAGTCCATCATTCTACTAGGTCAATCATACGATGTGGTCGGGCATAATTCATAATTCAATTTCAACGGTCCAAAATGTGGGTCCCGGCAAATCCCAAACTAAATCTCCAAAATTAGGGTTTTCTAAACCCTAATTAGGGTTTCCAACCCAAGCACATGCCACAAAGTCCAAAGTTAAGTTTTAGGTTAATCAGGGTTTCACTAGGTCGGGCACCACCCACTGCCATCTCGGGCGGTGGTGTTCGATGGCGGCTCACAACGGCGGCCGTGTAACACTCTAAATCAGGTACACCTTAAAACCCTTGAAAATAGATTAATTAGCAAAAATGGTCCCTCTCGTACGATGGGCGTACCTAAGGGTACGCTTAGCGTACTATGGTAGAAGGATCGCGAAAGAGCCTTGCGTACGCGGGGCGTACGTGAGGGTACGCTGGGCGTACGCAACAGAGGGCCAAAACCGTAAAATCCGGACTTGTGACCTATATAAACACCTTTAACTCTTTTTAGCCACACCTTTAACAACCTCCTTCACCTTCAAACGTTCCTGGAAGCCCTAATAACCTTTGTGAGTGCTTTTGAGCCTTAAGAGTGCATTATGGTCCTTTTTAGTGTTCATTCCAAGAAGAGGAAGTGGTCAAGCAAGCTTGGGACGAGTTGGTGCTTCAAGGATCTGCATCTTGGTCATCTTTCAAAGCTTCTGGAGGTAAAAATCTTGCATTTTTCCACTTAAATCTCTAGATCTAGCTAGGGTTTCCTACTTTGTCCCTTTTGGTTGATTCTGGACCTCCATTAGTGAGTTAAGCAACTCCAGAAGATGGGAATGACAGATCTGAGGTCCCTTGGTCCTTTAGTAACATAAAAATGGAGTCTTGGTGGAAGTTTTGGCCTCATGCATGGGTTAAAGACCTTGAAAAGGTCTTAATGGAGGTGTTGGGTGTATATGAGCCATGCAAAGGCATAAAGTTGCCAACTTTATGCTTTAGGACGTCTTAACAAAACTTAGATCTGGCTTCTGGACGTAAAGGAATCGGGTATTAAGCACTTAATGGAGAAAGTGCTTAGCCTGGTAGTACGCTGGGTGTACCCAGTGTACGCTGCGCGTAGTCCCAAGACCCCAGTACGATGCGCGTACCAGGATGGTAAGCCGAGCGTACGCATCAGAGTTGGGCCGAATCTGTTTTGGTCCCTTGATCCACTGGGGCCTCATTTGGTTATTGGACTCGGTTGCATTATGTGGATTATGGTCCATTTCATCTGTTATGGGCCATGGATATTTTGGTTGGGCCTTATTGGGCCAAGAGGCCCATTAATGATTTTGGACTTGGACTTTGGGTCCATTAGCAAGGGAAGGATAATTGGGCTTCATGGAAGGGTTTGGAGTTTGGGTTTCTTTTGATTAAGTAAGGTCCTAACATTAATTAATATTATTATTCAGCACGGGAAGTTACGGACTGTTAGGAGAGCAGCTTTTGTATTCAGCAGACAGAGGTGAGTCTCCTCACCATGCCAATGGGTCTAAGGCACCAAGGTCGGCCCGTTAATTGTTATGTGATGTGTTATTCTTAATTATTTGTGACATTTGCATGAAAGACCTCGGGGGGTTCCCGAGGCACCTAGGTATAAGACCTTGGAGGGTTTCCAAAGCATCATCGATAAAGACCTCGGGGGGTTCCCGAGGCACCCGGAGTAAGACCTTGGAGGGTTTCCAGGGCATCCATATATGTTGTATGCGTGGCTTATGTGATGTATGTAGCCTTAGGGCTAGAACGATATGTGATATTTGAATTGTATGTGTGGTATGATCTGGGAAACTCACTAAGCATCCGCTTACAATTTTTAGAATTGTTTCAGGTAAATCTGAGCCTAAGGGCAAGGGCAAGGCGTGATGGCGCGGCGTGCACTCTATCTCTCATTGTTATGTTACGGGACACTCTGATGTTTTAAATAAAGTTGTAATAAATTTGGATTTGGAAACGATTGTTCTGGGATTTCATGGTTCATTCAAATGTGTTTGATTAAATTAAAAATCAAAATTTTCTTTTAAAATTTGGGTCGTTACAAGCCACCATCTTACGGCGGTGGTGGTGGTCTTCTTCACTTTTGACTAAGAAAAACTGATACAACATTCACCATTAAAACACACACATAATTGCACCATAATACACACACACACAGAGCCACCTCCTACGGTGGCTGGCGGCGGCAAGGGATGGCAGAAAATGGCAGCCACCATGGTTGGCTGCCATGGTGGTTCGCCTCACTTCCGGTCAACATGCTTCACGGGTTCTAGCAGCAACACACGTACATACATGACACGAGACCACAAGCTCCTAACCATCGACTAGGCGGCTGATGAAGCTGGAACAAACAGAAACGACGACCAAGGGCCACCGTCGGCAGCAAACGACGTACACAACGTCAAACGCACCGAGAGGAACGAAGGAGAGGAGAGAGAAGTGGCAGATAACCTTAGCAGGAACTTTCCTGTCGCTCACGACCCACGCATCAACGAACACAGCCCATTCGTCGGCCTTCGGCGGTCATCCCGGCTGCTCACAACGTCTCCGATAGTGGAACTATGGTGGTAGCGTTCATCGACATAGCAGCGGCGGCTGAGAAGGCTCCTAAGGTGGTGGCGGCTGGAGAAAGATATGCTAGGGTTAGGGTTTGTTATCCACCAAAACAAGAGGGAAAGGTAGCGGGTTTAACTCTTGTGATACCTTTCAACATTAGCTTAATTTCCAAGTTTGGCCCCTCCCCACCAGATCTTTTTCGAATTAAGCCCATAAGTTACAAAACAGCCCCCCAACATCCAAAATTCATCACAATTCAAGTCCAAAGTTTCAATACAGATCCCCAAAACTCCAAAAATTATATCATTTAACTTCTCATGGTTAACACTGACAAATTGTCACGGATTTAGGACTATTATTCAATTATTAATTTTATCTATTTATTTATTTTAAACAGAATGTTACAATAAGTTTGCATCAATCCTTCTAAACTCTTCAATTTCATGAATTGTCTCTTCATTTTGGATTCCTCTCTCTTTTTCCCTATTATAGTTCGTTAGACACAAATGAAACAAAGTCCTACGTTTAAGACTTTAACTAGTTTTTTTATTTAACAATAATAACGCCTTCTTTCAATTTTATTCACTTTTTACCCTAATTAGAAGGAAGTTTGCAATTTAAGTTTCCCGTTAACATTAACGACATGTTCTTCAATAAGTTTACATTATCATAACACACTAAGTTGCTCAATTGTAAAATTAGGTCAAAATTGAAAAAAAATGGTCCCTTTATTTAGTCGAAAATTGTCATTTTGGTCCAAAAAAATTTGGACTAGCACCACCGGTCCAAAATAGGTGTTTTGTTTAAGTTTTGGTCCGTTTTAAAATTAAATTGCTTGAAATGACATTTTTCCTGAGGAAAGTACGAATAGGTATTGAAGGTAGTATGAGTCCTTACTACTAGAAGCACAAAATATGTATTTGAATCAGGAAAAGTCACAAGGATTCTAAGGATCACGCAGTGTGTGTGGCACCATGTGTATGCTTTGACCCTTTCTATTGCTTTTTTAGAATGGTGATGACTCGTCAGGGAGGTGATTCTGGTTTCGGTTTAGGCTCGGGTACAGAGTCGAGCGATGTTGAGTTGAGCGAGTTGATTGTTGTAAAGGTTTCGAGTTGATTGAGATGATGGATGGGCATGTGCGGACCTTGCGGGCGGAACTAACTGTTGGACAGTTCAGGGCCCGTGACCCTTTTTTGTGACTTTTGCGCTTGTGGGACTCTTGAGTGTTTCGGGAAGAAGAAGCCTATTGTTAGTATGAGGTGGATAGCAGATATTAAGTCGAACCACGACATGGCCAAGGTCTCGCCACAACGCGATGGATTGGAAAAAATGGCCGTTAACTTTGATTGTTGACTTTTTGACCAGGTTGACTTTTGGTCAGATTGATGACTTTAGGTTTGTAGACTGAGGTGTGACCCTGTTTGTTATAGGTGGTTTGTGTGGATGATCCTGTGAGGCCGAGAGTTTGTGTTTTCAGTTTGTGATCCAAGCAAGTCTTTTCATTATACTATGTAGAACACTAGGTGTCATGATATGTTAGATTGTATTTGTGACTTTTGCATGAAATATTGTGAGGGACCATAGCAATTGTATGAAAGACTATGGGGGACCATAGCAGGTTGAAATATACCCCTAGGGTGGGGCCCATTGTTATGTGTTGTATGTGGTATATTGGGGAACTCACTAAGCTTTGTGCTTACGGTTTTAAGTTTAAATGTTTTAGGTACTTTTTGTAGCAAGGGGAAGAGCCATGATTGATTGCATCACATCCACCGGAGATTTCGCACTATCTGTTTTTGTGATTTTCACTCTAATGTTTGTTTGAAACTGTAACTTATTACTTTGATTATCTTTTGAGGAAGCAATATTTGGATGGTTTTATTATATCTCAAAATGAAAATTTTACTCTATATTTTTAGGGACTCTACACATATAGAACCAAAATATCAAATATTTTAGCAACATGTTAAGTTTTGGTTATCAAGAATTGCAAATGCCTAGGTTATTTGCTAGATTTTGATCAAGGTAATTTACTTTGATATCAAGAGCAAAAAAAAAGCAAAATATTGACCAATTTTTTGTTTTTGAACAAGATATTGCAAACTAAGAACATACATCTTTAAAAAATTATAACAATTAAACTAAAATGTTATCATCATTTTCTTTTGGCTCTAAATATACAACCATAAATCTTTTCTTGAAATATAAAGAAAGTAGCATGAAAAATATATGGATATAAACTAACTGAAAAACAATAGCACCATATAGCTTTTACTCTTTCAAAAACCTTGATTATTAATCACGCTTTGAGTTCTCCCCAATATACTTCACCATTCAACTCTTTCTTTTATAAATCATACATGTGCATCTTTTTATTCACTTTCATCCAATATAAATAACAATAACGAAAAAAGAAAAGACGAAATATATGTAACCAAACATGAAAATAATGTTCTTATATAGATAAAATATTTCAATTAACCAATCAATTAGTTAATATAAGTTAAAAGGGTGGGCGTTTCAAATGAATATGGTTCAAGACACATGATTTATACTGAACCATATTGATTTGGATGACCTCTTTTATAAGAGTTATAAAGACACAACGTTGGTTTGAATTCTTTTGAGGAATCGTGAGTTATGACTAACTTTGTTGATTTGTTGTTAATTTTGTGCCTAGTATGTGTTGGTTTTTGTGTGCTTAATTTTACAATCAGGTGTAAACAAAGAATAAAAAGGAAGAACGTCATCTTTTAGTTTTAGGTTAGACGTTTTGAATTTCTATTTGTATCTTGATTTTGATTTTGTTTAAATTTCAAGTTTAGTTCAATTTTTGAGTTATGATTAAATTTGTTTTGATTATAGAGTTTATAATAAATGGGATCGATTTTTTTTTTCGGGGTTTTGATTTAAGAAGATGAGGACTATGGAGATGAATTTGGGGCAAAATTGCCGGTTTAGAACCATCAACAAATGTTGCAAAAAGACAAAACTTTGGTGAATTAGTGCAACAAATGAAACATATCAATTATATTAATAACTTCTGACACATTGTAATTAACTTGAGATGTTTGGTTTTGTGTTTAGAGTGTTTTTTGAATTCAAAAGGTTTTTTTTTTTTTTTTTAGCAAAAATGTTTATTGATTTATTGTGGTGGAAAAAGGAATATTTTAAAAAGTATTTTGATTAACATTTGTGGTAGCAAGAAGCTTTATAATTGAGAGAGAGAGAGAGAGAGAGAGAGAGAGAGAGAGAGAGAGAGAGAGAGAGAGAGAGAGAGAGAGAGAGAGAGAGAGAGAGAGAGATTTTATTTCAAAAAGTCAAAAATTAGCTACTTCTTAGAAACTCCATTTTAAATGTATTAAAAATTTGTTTTCAAAACTACTTTTAAGTTTGTTAAACATTTTTTTTATCGACTTTTAAAAAGATCAATAAATTGTTTTGATTTATTGGTTTTAAGGATGTTTGAAATTTTTTCAAAACAACTTAATGACTTATTTATTTTTTTAAAAAGTTAATAAATTTAAAAGTATATTCAGTAAACTAGTCTTTTAAAATGGTTTTTCCTAAGACCAAAAGAGATTCTAAAAAGTTCAAATGATGCAGACATTTTGAACCCACTTCTAGCATCTCAAAGATAAAAAGACAAGTATGGATCTTAATTAACTAAAACTCCAACCATTTTTTTGAAAAAAAAATATATTTTTGAATAAGCTAATAAGCATTTTTATCAAAAGTGTTTTTTTTTTTTTTTTCTAAAACTCATCCAAACACCCCCTCAATTTACCATTTAGATAATAAATATTTATAATTATGGATGTACCAAAAACTAAAACCGAATCAAAAAAAAAAAAAAAATGAAAAATTGAAAAGCCAACCGTTTGACTTTTTTTTTTCATTTCACCTTTTTATTCATAAAAACTAAAAAACAAAAAAACCAAAACCAAAATACCCAAATTATGTCACTTGATACATGCTTATTTTATTTTATTAAGTACGTTAAATTCATGTATACCTTCTATTGAAAATTAAAATAATAAACATGCATTTATGCATTTACAACGTCTACCATTATTTTTTAGTAAATTTATTGTTTTATGTTGAATGTTAGGATGACCTAATAATAAATAAATAAATAAATAAAACTAACTGCTTTCGTTTTTACAAAGTCAGAAACAGAAATTTTCAATTCGGTTTCAGATTTGGTTAAAAACTGAAGCGAAACATGCTTTAAAATAAATATTAACAAACAAATAATAAAAACAAAAACAAAATTAACTGCATTTGCTTCACTAGATAGTCAAATGATTCAACTAAATAAACTACAAGATAAAAATAAGTCAACACAACTACATAAAAGCAACAAAAAAAAAAAAACACGCCCCACCCCGTCCTTTTTAAGATATATGCCAATTTTACACATTTGTAGAAAGAGCCCCAGCAGCAAAAAGAAGATTCCTTCGCGAAAACTGTCAACAAAAAAAAATGTCATCATTACAAATTTTCATATGTAAGAATAAATACAAGAAATAGAGCATTGTACTTTCATTATTTGTCTATATCATTGGGCAGAAATTTTTTTTTTGCCTTAATAAGAAAATATGTAAGTAATGTTGTAATAAAAAGAAATGAAAAGTAATAATCCAGAAATAGATGAAAGTAGGTTGCTATTTCGATAAAGTTGAGTGTTTACCCGTAAAGCATAAACGGGGGTGGATTTGGTAGGTAGAGTCTTGAGTGATCTCAGTCTATTTGTATTTCCACTTTTACTAACAAATCCAACAACACATGGATTAAGTTAAACTATATATATATATATATATATATATATATATATATATATATATATATATATAATATATATATATATATATCAGTTCAAAAGCCCGTGTAAGTACAAGTAGAAGAAGGTGTTGTGTGATGTGAATGAGTTAGGTAGGGTACCTGAAAGCAAGAAGTATGGCCGAGAAGAGGAGTGAGACATCGAGCATTGGAAACATCATGATACTTCCATCTTCATCACCAGATGCCATGTATCTACCATCAGGTGACATGGCTAACGATAAAATCATACTCCTATGACCAATGAAAATCCGTATGCATTCACCACTTTGTACGTCCCATAAACGAACTGTTTTGTCACTTGATCCCGTTGCAACGTAATTGCAGTTCATATGCCATTCTACACACTGCCAAAAAACATATATATATATATATATATATATATATATATATATATCCTTTTTTTATTATTAAAAAAAAACATAACACGTCCTGTTTGTGTATTTTTTAGGGTTTAATCTCATAAAAGACCTTACATTTTGTGTTTTTTTCCATATTAAACCCCAACTTTGTATTTTTTTTTCTGAAAAAAAAAACCCTCAACCTTCCAAATGTTTCCAAATAAATCCTCAAACTTTTTTAGTTTTTCCTGAAAAAACCCTCACATTTTACAACGTTTTTTTGGAGAAAAATGACTAAAAAGGCCAGATCAGAAAAAATGAAAAAATACAAGGTCTTTTCATGAAAAAAATAAAGTTGAGGTTTAATCCAGAAAAAATACAAAATATAAGGTTTTTTGTGAGATCAACTCCAAAAAAAAAAATGTAAGATGCGAGGGTTTTTTCAAGAAAAACTAAAAATGTTTGAGGGTTTATTTGGAAGCATTTAGAAGGTTGAGTGTTTTTTCGGAAAAAAAAAAGACAAATTTGAGGGTTTTTTTTGGAAAAAATGAAAAAATACAAGGTCTTTTTCAGGCAAAAAATAAAGTTGAAATAAACACAAAATATAAGGTCTTTTATGAGATTAACCCTATTTTTTTAAGTTTTATAACTATCTAACTACAACTTTCTTACTGTTTTTTTTTTCCAGCAAGTGTTGTCTAGATAAAAAGTAAAGTACATTTTGGTCCCTTGGTATAGCTGGTTTTTGCAAATTTGGTACTTAATTGATGTTTTTGGAACATTTTGGGTCCTTGTTCAAAAACATTTTTTGGACCAAAATTGCAAAAATCAGATAGAGAGAGAAAACTGACATCAACATCAGATAAGTGTCCTGCAAGTATTCTTAGAGGCTGAATTCTATCCATTGACCAAATCCTAGCTGTTCTATCATGAGATGCACTTGCAAAATAGTGTCCAAGTGGACTAAACTGTATATACAATAATTGAGTAAAATAATTAATTACCACATAAATTTAATTTAATATTCCATTCAAATTCTACCTGAACATCCCATACAGGGTAATTATGACCCTTGTAGCACACAACATTTGCATTCAACTTTGTGCTCCATAATCGAACTGCACTAAATATTCATAAATCTACTCTACAACATGGAAACATGAAATACTTTTCATAAAAAAAAAAAAAAACATACTTGTTGAATCTGACGATGATGATAAAAGAAAATCCCCAAAAGGACTAAATGAAGCTGAATAAACCGGACCAGAATGCCCCCGATACAAAGTGTAACACCTTTTTCCACCATTTGATCCATCCGAATCATTTTCACCAGCTGAAAACCAGAAAGTCTTATTTAATCATTTTTTTGTCATATTTAAAAAGTTAGTTGAAGTAAATAATTTAGATGACTTACAACTCCCCATACGCCCAAGTTTTGCCATGTCCCACACCTACCAGATATTAATAAGATTATAATATAAACCGGATTTGTAATTTTGTATTAGAATATTAAGAAATAAAATGAAGGAAAAAGACTTTGAGTGATGAATCTGAGAATCCTCCGGCTACTAATGATCCATCGTGGGATATTGATGAACAATTTAATCTGAAACAGACGAAGAAAATAATAATAATAATAATATAAATAGAAGATAAAGAAAAACAAGACACGAAATATTTTAAAGTAAAAGGGGAAATACAAATACCCGTTATGTGTATTAATGAATGTGTAGAAACTAACTGAAGGAAGTGTGGAAGTGTTTAATTGTACACGGTTTCTAAGGTCTTCAAGAATAGAATGTTCTACATCTGTTGATCTGAGATTTAAAAAAATAAATAAATAAAACAAATGTTGAAAAAAAAAAACTATGTAACATACATTGTTGGCAAAGTAAGCTCGGGTTTGACTCTTGGGGCAGCAGTTGACTTGTCACCCTCCCCTCGGGCAGCTTTCCCTGCCCCACCAACAACCTTGTCCTTCTTTAGCTTCTTGAGGGGCCCACCTTGCTTTCCACCATCTGCTGATTTTTTCTGAAAAATAAACATCATAAACAGTAAAAGTGTATTAAAATAAATAAATAACTAAAAATACCTTATTCTCATCTATCTCTCCTTCTTTGCCTTCTCCTTCTGTCTTTTCTGAATCTGAGAGCAACCCACCTGCTTTATCAAGCCGATCTTCTAAACAATCTTCAAGCAGCTATAAAAAATTGTAAATTATAACTTTTAGTTTCTTACATACAATGTGAAAATAATGAGATATTTAGTTTTTTACTTTACTAACCCCCCAATGTATTTCTTTCTGATTTATTAAATTAGCAGCATCTTGTCCACTTCCAACAAGTGAAAAGGCTTCAGCATCATCAGAAATTGAGCTAGGTTGTCCAGGAGAAACTGTAAAAAAAAAAAAAAAAAATAGTCCAAATAAAAGTTAACATTTTTTTACATGATAATGTATATAAAAGATTGTAATAAAAACTTACCTTGGAAGTCAATATGCTCATTGATAATACCAAGCATTGTAATGGATTGTGTCTTGTGTAGATATTGCATAAGAAGATCATAAGAATACTACAAAGAAAAATAAAAGAAGGCTATCATTATTAATTTATAATCATATAATATTGATTAAATTTATAAATATAAGGATCAAAAGGTAACCTACCTGGCATATCTTTATATTCACTTTGCTCTGCCTTAGAGTGTGAGCAAACTCCATTTCCTGGATATTTACAAGAGTTTATTTCGAAATAGTGAAATAGTGATATAAAGTTAATAAGTTTAGGGTGTTTTGGTAATTAACCTCTAAATGAGATGGGGAAAGAACACCTTCTAATTTTGTGAGATCACGTGAATGCATCATCTCATGATCTTCACGAAAGGTATTGAAGAATGCTCGAGCTGAAAACCCAAATTTTTTAATAAAGTGAGAATAACAATTAAACTAATGAGTGGCATATGTTGTAAATAACTAAATTCAAGATATGTATATGTGTATACCTTCTTGAAGATGGCCTTTTGCTATGAGATCCATGAAACAGTGGATAAATACTGGGTAGAGAACACAAAGCAATTCATGCTGCATTGTTAAAAACATTAAATTAAAATATAATAAATGAAGTAATGAACATATGATAAAATAACATTAAAATAATTATAGAAAAAGGAAAAAATAAATTAAAAGGGTATAATCGTCTTTTCAAGTTTTTTTGGACCAAAATCACGAAAAATTCTTGATTTTGGACCTTCCATGCAAGTTGAAAAGTTTTTGGACCCTATCCAAAGTTTTTTGAATACCACAGAGACCAATCTTGCAGTTTTGTCTAAAACAAATTGGTGTTTTCCGAGTTTCATTTACTCTTAGTTCCCGAGTCTAAGCAAAGAAAAGAAAAGGAAAAGAAGAGAAAATAAAGTAAGGAGGGAAAGAAAGAGAAATGAAAGAAAAAAAAAGTTTTCTTTTGTGTTCCCAAGTTGGAGAGAAGTGAGAGGAAAATTAATCATCTTCTTCTTTCTTTCCAAATCCTTCCAAATCGGAAGGAAAGTTAGGAGGGAAAGTGATCTTTTCATTTCCCTTCACTCCCTTCAACTTCTTTTCTTTAATGAAACTCGGTAACACCAATTTCTTTTACTTTTTTCTCATTTCCATCCATTTCCTTTATTTTCTCTCGTTAAGTTGAACTCGGGAATGGGGTGTAAAGGAGGGAAGTAGAAGGGAGTGGAAGGGAGTGGAAGGAAATGGAAGGATTGATTTCCCTCCTAACTTTCCTTCCGATTTGGAAGGATTTGGAGAGAAGGAACAAAATGTTTAATATTCCTTCCACTTTCTCTCCAACTCGGGAACACAAAAGACAAATTTATTTCCTTTCTTTTCTCTTCTTTTCTCTCATTGCTTTCTTTTCTCTTTTTTTCTTTTCTTTGCTACAACTCGGGAAGTAGCCGTTACGGCTTGTTCACGAGTTGTGGGATATGGATGGATATGGGGGAAAGTGAGGGAGGTCGAAGGAAAATCATGTTCTGAGTTTTATTAATGGATGGAAAGTGAGGGGAAGGAAAGGATTTTGGAGCCATATTTTCCTTCCAGATTTTTCTTCCAAATTGGACGGATTTGAGAAGAAAATGAGGGGAAAGAAAATCTTTAAGTTTTATTTTCTTTTTCCTCCTAACTTGGGAACACAAAAAACTTGAAATTTTCCTTTCATTTCCTTTGAACTCGGGAACATGGAATAAATAAAATTTTCCTTCCCCTATCTTTCTTCCTGTCAGTATTTTTCTTCCCCTTCCTTTATTGAATTTACAAAAAAAACTCGGGAACAAGGCGTTTAGGCTTTTAGCTACCGTAAAAACAAAAGAAATAGGGTAGTGGGCTTAGATTAGTAATTAAATTTATTGGACTTGTTTTTTTTACTACTAAAATTCTTTTGTGCTATTTAAAATGTATGGATTTATAAAGCTAGAAATAGATTAATTTTTAACGGATAATATCAATTACATGGGTATTCAAAAATATGTAGTTCGTATGAATCGAGTATAGGAACGTAATCAGAGTATAAAATAATTCAAGAACACAAATCGTAAATATAATATGTTTGACTCACTTAATACTTCTGGAAGGATACAAGGGAATGAAAGAGTAAAGTACATCGAGTGCCCAAAAGTTACTCTAACCCTTATAGTTATCCCTATTTATAGGAACACCAGAAGTAAACAAAAAGTGCATAAGGGCTATGACACATACGCTTCGAACTCTAAAACAGCCCTTATGAAATACATACAACGAATACATGTAAACTGACTTCGACACTAAACATGACACAAGATGCTTCGACATCTCACAACATATTTCGAACCCTACTTTCTCCCCCTCTGTGAGAAGTGTCAAATCCTATGTCATTAGCATCTTCGTTGCTTGATGTAGTACTCTTCGAATCGTCATGTACCAAATGATCGTCTTTTTAACCTCAGCCTTATCACCAACTGAATTCCGTTTGCATTTGTTAAGACGAACTAGAAGACTCGTGTACTGCGAATTTGTATATCTTTCAATATCTTCAACCTTGAACAAGAACTTGGTCATCTTCTGGTTTTTGTTCTTCCCAACGAATACAACACCTAGAGGTTTAACAAAATTTTCCCCATCTTCGAAATTCCTGAGACTTCCTGGACCTTTCAACATTGATTGAGGAACTGTCACTTGTCTTCCCATTGCTAAAGCAAGCTCCACATCAGTCAAGGATAGACAATCGTAGTAATTGTCTATGAACAACTTGATATGAGCAAAACCTAACAAGAAATATTCTTTGTTATTTACTTGAAGTTTCGACGCATCAACACTGCTCGAGATCTCCGCAACACAGATGATATCATTAAGATTCATCAAAGGAAAATCCGCAACTGAGAAGTCACATGCAACATTATTAGCTCGAACTACATGATAACAAAAGTTATGTAGTAAGCCGTCGAACAGTTGATCCTTGGAAACACCCAAAACTTTGACAATTTTGACTAAGGACCAGAGTTCTTCCTCCTTATTCCCAAGAACTGCATGAAATCTCATCTTCAGCTTCTTGTATTCTTCCTTGTTTTCAAATTTATCTACAAACTGATATTGAGACGAAATAAACATCATTTGATTGATGGGAAAATCCAGTTGATTGAAATATGTATTTTCGATATCAAAGCTCTTTTTCGGAACCTTTTCGAAATCATGCATATTCCCAAGAGAAACAATATGCTCAATTGTCTCATAACAATATTGCTTTATTGGATCTCCTTTATCAAGACCTGGTGCATCACCTTGTCTTTGTCTCATGATGTTGTTGATTTGTCTTTGTTTTTCAATCTCCTTTTCAAGATTTTTCTTTTTCTCTTCCTCTGTTAACTCCTTCGCTATGCCCTTCCCTCTATCACCTTTAGCTTGACTCGAAAGTGTTGGATTTGAGCTTGACCCCCCAGCAGAAGACCAAATAAATATGCCTTTGTTCAATGGCTTCTAAGTCATTGTGGTTGAGGTTGTTGACATCGAAGTAAGAAGTGAAGTTGGAATTTGTGTGCTCATTACCTTCCCAACCAACTTACCTTGATCAGAATCCTTTGATGATCCAACATCATTTTCTCCCCCTTGCACCCCTGTTTTAACAGGTGGGGCATCTGTTGGAATCAAATGTACAAGCTTTAGAAGAGGAGCCAATTCGACTTTCAGATTATACTCCAGAGAGGAAAACATTTTTGAGAGAGACTCCTGAGAAACCGAAGATGGAGAAGTAACATTAAGTGTCGAAAGGGATTCCTTCAAACTCCCCAAAAACTCTTCCAGTTTAGCAAACACTTTGGAATCAGACTCTGTCTTCGAATCAAACTTAGTGATACGATAATTGTAAAACTCCTCAACTTTGGTAACAACATCAGCAGTTACATCAACCTTAGAATGAAGAGTTGAGTAATTCTGATCAAGTTTAACAATCTCCTTTGACCTTTCGGTTTTAATGGCCTCGACTTGGAGATTAACAGCCTTCTCTACTTTTTGGACTTCTTCAACAAACAAAATATGTCGTTCTTTAGCAACTACCCTCAGATCCTTAACCTCAGATTGAAAATTGGTAGCCTAACGCTTCAAATGTTCTTTATGTTTTGATTCAATCTTCTCCATGACCATTTTCAACCAATGTTCTTGGGCTTTAAGCAAAACATCAACTTCAATCCCAGAAATAGTGTTTCGACTCCCAGTGTCAGCCTGAATCTGGATTAAGGAATTCAGCTTTTGATTCGAAATCTTGAAATGCTTTCCTGACATAAGCATATGATTAGGAATGTTTTCTTCCTTTGAGTCGAACCGAATATCAGCAAAAGAAACCATGACTTCATCATCATCTGGATCGACATCTGGAATTGATCTTTCACCTTCGGTGGATTGAGAAGAGAAAAAAGAAGTAATAGGTTGATTCATGATATTGTTGTAGGTAGGTGAAATAGTGGAAGCCGGTAATGAAGTAGGAGTAGGTGTATGAAATGGTGGTAAGGAAGTAGAAGTGTCAATAATAGTGGTTTCGATTATGGAGGAAAGAACGAGCGAAATAGGAACATATGAAGTTATAACATGAGGGTTACCTTGAGCTTCGAAGGTCGACATCCCATCACCCATGTTAACATTTGTGTCCATATGAGATATTTTCACAGGGATGCATGAAGTTCGAACCTGCTCCGAAACGGATTCAGCCATCGAGACTTCGGGTGGTATGATTGTTGTCTGCTCAGGGATGGAAATCGTTGAAGAATCACCCAAAGTAGTGGTTGTGTCTGTGTTAGATACGTTCATAGGGCCACCCAGACTTCCAGTCGCCTCGAAAGTCGACTTGACTGGAGAGTCCCTCTGATGTGATTTGAAGCCAATATCTTCATTGCGAACTGGAGATGGATTACTATCATCTTCGAAATCAGTCTTCTGAATAACCTCATCCAAAGGTTCTTCTAATTGCTTCGTCTTCTTCCTAATATTTTTCACCATTTCCTTGGCTTGGCTTTTCTTCGATGCAGGTGAAACGGGAGTTGGAACCTCGTGAATCAACACACCCCTTCGATTTAGCTGAGGTTTACGAATCTTCTTGAATTTCAAAACAGAAACCCTCGTTGGTGAAGAAAGAGACTTTTCAGGAACTTCTTCGACAATAGGACTCCTTTCTGGTGAATGACGAGGTCTGTGTGATGGCTTCTTCGTTCTTTTAAGAACTCCTATTTTCGAAGGAACCACTTCCTTTTCAGGACCTTTGGCAGCTTGGGAAACAGGATCTTGAATTTTCGTCGCAATCTCCTTCTCAGTTGTCACAATGTTAGGCTTCGATTGAGCAGCCTTTGTTACTTTCCTGGACCCTTTGCTTCGTTTCGAAATGCCCTCAACTCCTTTGGGTAATAAAACCCCCGTCTCCACATTAGGGTTTATGTTGGCTAGATATGCAATAAGCATAGGGTTCGTCGGATCCACCTTATTAAGCATGGCATCTGGAAATCGTGCAACTGAAGGAAAAATCTTCGAGTCATCTTCAACAGTCTTCGGATGTTGATAAATTATGAACTCAGCTTTTGGAACATCAG